GGTCTTTTTCCGGTGTAATGGATTCTCGATCATTCTTCTGTACCAGCTAGCTTAAAAGTTATCGGTAAGTTTGTAAATACAAGTATGATAAACGTAAAATCATGGCTGTATCTTGTCTAAAAGCGGATGCCACGTATCGCAACGGTTGCTCGGGGTATACCTTTATTTGAGGCCACTTTCTTCTGTAAATTAAGATGCATGTGAGGTTATACATGTACTTCCGTGTACTTGACCGAAATTGATGGTTTGCTGAAGTCAAATAAAGAATGAGTTAAATGTGTGATGATTGTTACATGTCTATTTTATACATGTGCCCTCTCTCTCCCATTTATTTCAGATCTGTTCAACGTCCCTGAACAAATGTGGAATCTGACAGCACAGTGACTTGCACATTTCTACAATGGTCGGTCATTTGATCTATTTTGCAGTGGTAAGTTCTATTTTTCATGTATATTTGTAGCAATAATATATTAATAATGATATTTAATTACAATCTTTATAATCTGCCTCATTCTCCTCTAGTTTTAGTACTCTTCTGTGAAAAAAGGCTTCCTCTTACAGCATTCATTCTTTGAACTACCTTTTTTAAACCGTGTGAAATGAATGCACGTCCCCCAGGAACGGAGGTCCTGGGAATACATGTCCTATGGATGTACTGTCCTACCCAGATCTAGATTCCCAGCTGTATTTATTCGCAGGTAGGACATGTATTCCTGTCGGACATAATTTCCTTTCACAGGTGGCTGTGTATTATTTCACCCACTCGTATTTCACCGAAAAACACCCCGTAACACGTATCTGTAGCCAATCAAAATTATCCGACGCGGCAAAGTAAAATGACCAGCAAACATGACAAAGACATAAAAATCACACAAAAGTTAAAAACGTTATTTCAGTCTTTTGGGGATTCGAACTTCGAACTCCCATAAGATTACTTTAAGATACTTTGATGGATTCACATCGTTGCACCGCCTAACCACTACGCCAGAGAGACGAACCGGCAAGTCGGCGATTTTACGTAATTTAGTAATTATCTATGCTCACTAAAGCATACTGTTCATGTCAATGGCCTTTACCTAGTAGTAATATAAAGGGACGGACATAAAAAATAGGGCGGACCTCCATTTCGCTGACTAATGTAAAAGGAATGCAGGTCCACCAGGAATAGAAGTCCTATCCATATTTATGACAGGAATACAGGTCCCGCTAGGACTACTAACCCGTAGGACCTCGGTCTAGGCGGACCTGCATTCCGTTCACACCGGTACTTGTGATTTTAAGCTCAGCTAAGAGGCTGTCACCTTTGTCATGGCATTTGTCACTGGGTAGTGTCTGCCCTGGTGTAATAGAATAATTAGTGTGACCATATGTGTGGAATTTCATGTCAGATGGACATAAAAATACATCTTTGCACAGCAGCCGTGGATCACTACGGTTCAGTTGTCAGTTGCGAACTATTTTCTGGTTTTCACAAGGTCTTTCAAAGACATCGTTATAATTGCAGCACATACCACAAAACACCCAAAAATACTTTGATATGGGCATAACAGATTGCATTCATGGAAAAATTCCACATGACAACGATTATTAGCCTCCCGGGAATTATTTTTCCCTTGACGCTCTTTGTCCCGCTGGCGTCGATGCATCATATATTTCAAAACAAATTGACTGCAAATTAAGCACCATTTTTTACCTTTTAGTTCCGCGACACGTTTTCATATTATGCTCCTACTATTTCTAAAAGTATCATTTGTCCCCAATGCATAAAGATAAAATGTTATCTAACAGTGTTGTTAGAATAACTGCATTTTTCGCTAGTCCCACGCACAGCACAAAAACAAATATTTCCGATTTTTCAGCCTCCGCGGAATGACGTCGGAACAGTGCAAGCTGGCCTTTACAACGCGCGACTGAATGACGTTTTTCCGCGCAGCAGTACCCCTTTCTCTTTTACACGGCCTTTCAACAGGCGTAATATCGTTCGTCTTTCTTCGCGACTGAACAACGTTTTTCCGCAGGGGTCCTGCCTTGGTATTATGTGACGGTCGTTATTGGATTGTGACTGACATTTAAGAACATGAGATTTCAATGGAACTGAAAGATTTATATTGTTAATTCCTTTCAAAATTTCATTTTATTATCTTAGGTGCGCTACATGTATATACTGTCGAAAGGCGTGATCATCCCGATCATAAGAACATCTCTCCTGAGGAAGCTTCCCCCGAGGGCTTATCATATTT